AAGTAGAAATACATGTGAGGCTGTCATAATTTTTCCCCACAAGGAAAATTCATTTCTATTAATGAAATCTTACGAATAATTAAAAAAATTGTTGTTTTAGTTGTACTTAGTTATATTACCTCCTATCTATAAATGATGTTAAAAAGAAGATCAAATGTCCATATTTTTAAATATGTTAAAAAGACAAGCTTCCTTGTAGTGTCCTAAAATTTTTACATGACTGCATGTAGAGACTGATAGAAGTTTAAAAAATATACTATTGATTAAAAAAGGAAAATACTTTCAATATATCCTAACAGGACTAACAACTTGTAGATATTATGTACAATGTCAATTTTGATAATTTTACAACTATTAGAAAGAGAGACATTAGTTTGTTTTAGTTTTTATAAACAAAAATAATGGTTAACGTATTTCGTACTTGGAATGGAATCCATGGCTATAGAGCTATTTTTCTCTGTTCTATTGTCGTTTCTAGTTGTGACATTCCGTGTACTTGCGTGAAATGCTTATATTTATAGACAATTTGAATATATGCTCGGTTATGCCAATTGTTAAAATTGATGATCATATGTTAGTATCTAGTTTTTCTTAGTTCAGGGACAAATCGACAGCATCTGTGATTCGATGAGAGAAATTTGGATTGCTTAGATATTGGGAAAGAAATTGAAATCATTCAGACTTTTTCAGGTATGTTTCACCATTACATTGGGAGTGAAACGGTTCTAAAATCTATGATAGCGGAAATCGAAAAAGACGCCTTTCAAATCGGGTTGTCCATTGCTAGTGTCATTTATTTTGTTGATGAAAGCGTTAAACTTGGAGTTCGTCTTGCAATCGACATCACGGAGCAAATACAGAAAAGCGAAAAAGATGCTGTATAAATCTCTTTCACTCTAATACAATCATAAAGAGTGAGGTTTTTTGAAACATTTTTTTAAAAATTTGTATATACTGTTGTTTAATCGAATTCTTTGCCTCCAGAATTAAATTAGATTCTTTTCTTTATTGGCGAAGATGTGACAGTGATTGTCAGCGAACTGGATAGTGCAATCTCTAGGAAGTATAGTTATCGTCTGCAAACTGCTACAGCCGTTGTCTGATACTTTGAGTTGTGGAATTTGTTTCGTTTCTCGATGCTATCGGTATAAAATACCGATGCTGCTACAACCAACACGATCGATTTTTACCTTAGCAGGTGAACATAGCCAGCAAAACTACTACAGCGTAACTAAGACTGCCACCAATTCAACCTCGTTACATTCTACAACTTCTTAAAGCAGTTATGCTTACTGTCTAGTTTTGCTTGGATCTCTGCTGATACTACGCTGCAGTACTTATATTCAGGTCTGGAAGACGGCGTAATAGAACAACTAAATACAAGATATTTTTATGGGTATTATATGAGTTACGTAGCAAATGAAATGATATAATAGCAGAAGTATTGTCGAACAGATGATTTTAAAGCATAAAATATGACAATAACGAAGAAAAACAATAACTAATATTTGCTCAACAGAACCAGCTTTGTTAATCAAATATTCATAATGTCTTTTTTCGAGTTATTTAGATATTTATTTTGCTTAGCAAATGTAAAAAAAATCCCAATGCGAATATATAATATTGTTCAGCATTTTATCATATGATGCAGAATCTAAAATGATAAATGCAATTTCTATTTATAATTACGAGAGGCATCCGAAAAGTAAGATAAATCAAGCGGATCTAAAACATTCTGGAAGCTATGAACATAAAACAGCGGAATGCTTCTTGTAACAGCGAGAATAGTTTTAATATTGTGAACATGTGACGTCGCAATAGACATGAACGCTTCCATCAAACAGTGGACAAACACAAAGTAGTAATAAGAGATTTTGCATGCCAATTGGATGAAGAACATATTTTCTAGGACACTTCTGTTCAGCTTTTGAAACGGTATAGAAGGAGCTGATGGGGATTTTCTGGAGAACCCGTTCATGGGCGATGAAACTTGAGTGTTTCACGTAACTCTGGAGATTAAAAATGATTCTATGACCTGGAAAAAAACCCAGATTCAGCTGTTGAGGAAGTAGGATGGGAAAAGAAGCTGTGCTACGTGTGGATTTCATGTGACACACGGCCAGACAGTTAAGCGCAGTCAGATAATGTGAAGCGCTGAACAGACTGAGTAAAGCCTTTTGCCAGAAAGAGGCTAAGCGTTCGTGTAAGTGTGTCATTCTGCTACACGACAACGCCACCTCTTCACCACATGGCCAACCTGACAAAAAGTGACTCCAGTGATATGATTGGAATGTTTTAAGGTGCCAACCGCAATTTTATGTCTGTTTGGGTTCATCAGACTTGCAAGGGTACTTACAGTCGCTTGACACTACGTTTTTCAAAAAAAGATAAACATTCGTTCGTACACCGATGGGAAGACTGAATCCATCTTGATGGCGTCTATGTAGAAAAGTAGCATAATAATTCTGGTAACATATGCCCATTATGTTTTATTTTTACAATAGTAAACATGCTGGATTTGTAAAGATTTGTACCTTACTTTTCGGTCATGTATTGTATTAAAATTATTACAATTGATAATATATAGAGGGTCCAATAAATCAATAATAATAATAATAATAAATAAAATATGTACAGGGTCTAATAAAAATATTGAGACTGGTGCTATAATAAGACAACCACATCAATTTGGTATTTAATCTCCTTCGAAATAATCCCATTCTGAAGCCACGCATTTTATTCATTATCATTTCAATTGATGGAAGCATTTACGGCACTAGTTTTGTTTGGGGATTGCGAGCAGCTACTTCGTAGCACTCACTTGGGTCTCCTCGACGTTTTGAAATATTCTTCCTTTCAAGTTGGATTTGATTTTTGAAGAGGAAAAAGTTGCATAGTGGCGGGATGTAGGTAATATGGTAGTTGACGGACCAGGGGAATGTAGTTCTTCGCTAAAAACTACTGCACAAGCCACGGTCACTGATGGAACATCTGTGATATGTTGAAACGACAACGCTCTACATACGTTCCTTCAAGCATTACTAATCACAACGGAAGTAAGTGAGAACGTAAATAACATAACGTAGATGCGCGATAGAGTTCAAGGTCAATCTGTTCCAAGAGATTTCACTTTGCGTACTTTAGCTCCGTTACCATAGCAACAGTTCGGATACTTTTTGATCTGACCGCATATATATATATATATATATATATATATATATATATATATATATATATGGACATATATGGACATAGAGATCAACACAGGATAGTAAATGCCAGTTTCACAAGCGATGTTAACACCGTGGAAGTGATATTCATTATGCGGTATCGACTTCTATGTTCACTTTGTGTCGATCTATGTCACCGAAAGCAAATTTTAATTTCTTGTCAAAATTTAAAATAAATCAAAACTTAATTTCCGTACCTGACTATAATAAAATGTTGTTCGAAATAATATATAATTTTTTGATCAGATGTTTTTAAATAAATACTCCAATAAACAAACAAATATATATATATATATATATATATATATATATATATATGTGTGTGTGTGTGTGTGTGTGTGTGTGTGTGTGTGTGTATAGCTTAAATCGGGCGACATTTAAGCTAGCTGCTGCGGAGGGCTTTTTATTGGACCTTCATCACTATAGGTAGGCAGGAGAAGTTGAGATAGTCAACAATAAACTACTGAAGCTCAAAATTTAATCTTAATATTTATGCTTACCTTTTAAAAGTTCAATGATAATTCTTCTGTCGCTACTTAATTTAAAGACAATTTGATGTACGTAGGTCCTTACTTTTCGTACAAACAATTATTTTTATTTCGTGAGTGACTTTCGCTGTATTTTTTATGAATTGCTGTGTTGAAGTACAACGATGGCCTTTTGGACATGTATTTAGATAGACATTTTACCTTGACTTGGTGTCAGGCACGCTCCCCCAAAGTTTGTAAAAGTATTTTTGGATTGTATCTTGCTTTTAACAGCGTCGACCATAAACTTTAAACTTAATAACTAAAAAACGAAGGCTATATGTTTATATTGACCTTTGTCCTTTTTTGGTGTGAGAATCCGCCTCCAAAGTTTGTAAAAGGTATTTTGACACAACCTATATATATATATATATATATATATATATATATATATATATATATATATATATATATATGCATGTATGCTGAGAGCAGACAGCATAGTATTATCAGACTTGGGACACAATAAGCAAATTCACTAACATCTCAACAAGTAATTAATATATAAAATTTAATACTTATTGCCATTTTGCGTCGTCCATAATGGTTAGTTTTTAAGCCATGATGTAAATATCCTTGGGAAAGATATGAATCCATCCCCTCTCCCCAGTTATGGGTTAAATAGTAGGACCTGTACCTAGAAAAATCGTTGTTATTCTATCCACCCCAAAATTGTTTATTCAATATTCACTCAGAAAAAAGAATTATTCTTAAAATCCAAAATATGTTTCGACATTAAACGACCCACAAAGTGTTGATAAACCATAAAAAATCAATCAATCAAACCATGATCTTTACTGTTGAATTTCTAGGCAGGCAGTCCGGTAGGAAAACAGACCCCGCACAAGAGGCGTAAGGAGTTGCGTGAAGCTGACACGGTTTATAGATACCAGCGCATTGGCTGCTGCTTTATTAAATAAACATAAACGTTGCTTATTTGTGTGTGTTTTACTGAGCTGCCATCACTGCTAAGAGAGAGTGGGTATGGTTTATTTGTTCTTTGCATTAAGTATGAGATATTCTGTATGATGAGAAGTAAAAATATACACTTGGAGTTGTTTTTTAACGTATTCTATTATGTTAATCGAAGTGCTTACTGTAAAATGATTGTAAACGAACTGATCCTGTATATCATTACTACTGCAATGAATCAGATTCTTACTGGGTGCACAACTCTTATGGCCAATATCGATATATTGTACGGATTAAAGCACTTATTAATCAAAATCTCACACATTACATCTTACGGCCATATCACGTTAAAACATCGGTTTACGTACGATCACCGAAGTTAAGCAACACCGAGCTTGGTCAGTACCGGGTGACCACTCGGGCATACCAGGTGCTGTAAGCTTAGATGTATGTGTGGTGTAATGGATAATGGCTCAGAATTGATCATCAGAGAGCTGAGTTCCAATTCCAGTCGGGTTCGCTTACATGTATATACCCTTGGCAAAGGTATGAATCCACTTCTTTTCCCCCAGATATGGGTTAAGTAGTATTACTTGTATCCGTAAATCATTATTATCGCCAAAAATTCTTACAGTCTAAAGATATTTTTTTGTTTTAATTAACCTGCAAAAGGTTGACAGACCGTAAAAATAAATCAGACAATCAATCTCACACATAACTGGCAGTCTCTTGTATCAGAATAACTTCTATATCAGATGAAGAGAGATATTTTCATACCTATCCAAGAATGATAAATAAAAGTTAGTTTCTCAGATCATTGTGATTGTGATTTTGAGTTTAACTAGGTTCATCTTTATAACAATCTGAATTATGCTGGACGCCATTTTGGACGTGAAATGAAGAAAAAAGATCAAGACGCTGTTTAAAATGAAAGCATCAACATTATCCCAAATACACTATTAGATTAATATCTTACCAAGATATTCTAATAAAGATTTTGGATAGAAAATGATACTCCTAAGATTTATGGAGATTTTCTAAGCGTGGCTTAGATGTGGCACAAGGCCGAAAGTATGAGGCACCCAGTGAGGATCGAACTCACTCCTCAGTCATAATTGATCTACCGAAAGAAGCTTGATAAACATTACACCACGTCGAAGTGCCCAAATGGTGGCTTTCTAAGCACAGCTTAGATGTGGCACAAGGCCGAAAGTATGGGGCACTCAGTGAGGATCGAACTCACTGCTCAGTAGTAATTAATCTAGCGGGATAAGCTTGCTTAACCACTGCACCACATCGAAGTGCCATAATATCGATTTTTCTAAGCATAGCTTAGATGTGGTGAAAAGTATGGGGAATCCATACTTTCGTCTTTTCACCACATCTAAGCTACGCTTAGAAAAATCGGGTCGAACTCACTACTCAGTCGTAATGGTTCTAGCGAGACAAGCTTGCTAACTATTAGACTATATAGAGTCAATAGAATATTTCAACAAATTCATCAGTTAATAACAAAAAATAATTATCAAATGTATTAGTAAAAAGAAAGGTTTTGCATACAGCTTTGGTGTGTTACATTTTAGTAGCGTTATGTCGGTATAGGTAAAGAATAATGAAAAAATCATTTTCTTGAAAGAAAAAAATGTCTTCTCACTCGCTCTTAAATCTGTGAGTGAAACTGACTGAATATTTAAATAAGGACAAACGTAAAAGATTTATATTTCCTTTCGATAAAAAATTAGAGGAATCAATGCGAATCTGATCTATGTTTGGAATAATTTGGGATGCGAATCTATGTTTGGGATAATAATTGTTGATTGGTTGAATTACTCGCTTTCGGGTAGATATATCAATTTTCCTGCTATTCTTTTGAATTTTTGCTGGTAAAATTCATCAACCTAAAACGATAAATAACACTAAGACAACACTTTGTTTTTTTAATCACTTATTTAAAATCATGAGATAATATTTTCCATTATGAATAAATATAGAGATTAATACAATTCTTTTATCAGTAATGTTATAAATGAGAAATCAATGAGACTCATGAAAGTCTTTATTCTGATATAAATATTAATGAAACTGTTTGAAAATTTGTGCTTTCTCTCATTAAAAGTTTTAGAAGAGGCCATTGAAAAGTTCTCGGCACAAGCAAAAAGAGATTTAAAAAATTCTGATTTTTGAGCATTTGGTCAGATTTTTAGAATTGGGCCGGTCAAAGCGCCCTGGTAAATTTTGATAGTTAAGATCAATGTTTATGTAGATGTTATACTGCTTAATCTTTGAAAATGTCTTCTCACATAAATATGCTGTGCTTAAATGCTGAATGTTAATTTTTCCCCTTGGTCTTTCAGTTTGTTATTGGTTTGCTAGAGGATCACGTGTTATTGTAGAACTGATAAGACGTTCTCAATGGCGCGTAAAACTTTGTTTAAAATTTTATACATAGTAATATTAGGGAGAAAATAATATAAAAATGTTATTTAAATAAAATATTCCATATAATCTTCGATCCGGATAAAATATCACAATTGACTGTATTTGGCGCGTTGACTATACAGAGTGTCCATAGAAGTTCGTGTGCACTTTAAAAAATTATAACTTTATTTGTATTTGCCATAGAAATAATTTGTAAAAAGGATTAGAAAGAAGTAAATTTATATTTCTTAAGGTTTCATTAAAATTTTATTTACGTTTCAACATGTCCTCCATCATTAGCAATACAAAGGGTAATACGATTTTGCAGTTCACGGAAAACATTTGCCAACTGATTTACAGTAATGCCTAAAACCACTTTAGTTATTTTAGTCATACTTAAAACTAGATACATTAAACTTTATAACATTTTTTACAGATTATTTCTATCGCAAATACAAATAAAGTTATAAAATTTTTAAAGTTTACACGAACTTTATGGACACCCTGTATTTTGTCGACATCTGACTTATGGAACTATTTGCACATGGAGGTATTTATTGTGAAACGATAGAGATTTTCATACGACTTAGTTTACTTTTTATCTATTAACGCTACTTCAAAAGAATTTATATAACTTTTGCAGGATTTGTGTATCATTTCAGTAATTTTCTCATGTTTCTAACCATATTTTTTCATATAATTCTTATTTATTTTACCAAATTTTACTATATATTTTATTCATAGAGAACCATATATAACACATACGCATCTTGGTTGGTTGAAATAGTGTCCTTGTTTGTTTCTAGAATTCTATTTATATGAATAATTTGACCAATGAAATCCCAGTCGTTTTTTGGATGAGAGCTGTATCAGCGAATTGAGTACGGCGATCTCACTCGCATTGTTAAACGAATAGTTTATCGGATTAAATATTTCTCAAGGGATTACCTCTTTGAAAAGATTATAACGGAAAAATAGCACAAAAATCTACTTTAAAACAGGAACTAGCAAACAACCAATTGGAAATTATCATTGATGAAGTGACAAAAAAGAGGTAAGCAAATTTACGAGCAAAAAGAAAGGCTTATATAGATTTATACAGATTTTTGATTGATATGGTATTTACGGCTTATCAATCTTTTGTGGGTTATTTAAACATAAAATATTTACCGATTATAAAATTCTTTTTGGATATAATAATGATTTTTTACTGATACAAGTTTTACTAATTAATCCATAGCTGGGGGAAGAAGAGGTGGATCCATACCTTTCTCAAGGATATTTGCACGTAAGTGAATATAATGAATCCGACTAGAACTTGACTCTCTGATTTCCAATTCCGAGCCGCTATCCATTACACCACCCACACATCCAAGTTTACAGCACCTGGTATATACCAAGCATCCAGGTGAAACGAAGCTATACCAACAAAAGAAGACATTTGATTTCAACTTTAATCATCAAAGAAACCACATTGTATTGAAATCTGTGCTCAATAAACTGACGCGACAAGCTGGAAGAGAGCACCTCTGGGAGAAATTGTTTTAAACTTAAAATTTGTTTTAGCAAGAATCGATTTTTAACGCATGTTCTGTGCATTTAAAATAAGAAGAAATATTGAAAAAAAAATGAATGCACTTGTCACGAATGGATGTAAATTATGTAAGCGTTAATATATATATATATATATATATATATATATATATATATATGAATGAGTGGACATTGAAGTCAAAATCCAGAGGCGACAGACTGTTTCATGTTAAACGCAATCGTCAGGCCATGTGCACTTTTATATTAACATATGCTCTACCCCTGATATTGCCCTTTAGCCCATAAATATGGTATACGTTAAAACTACATTTTATCATATATATATATATATATATATATAGAGAGAGAGAGAGAGAGAGAGAGAGAGAGAGGAAGAGAATTTATACAATTAAAAGGGTTTCTCAGGAGGTACCAGCAATTGACTGTATATATATATATATATATATATATATATATATATACATGAGTTTGTACACATTTTGAATTTTGTTCTAATATTTTTATTGTAAAAGGTTTGAATTATAATGTGTAATTAAGATTCAATATTGAATAAGTGCATGAACATAGAAATATATATATATTTTTATATATGATTCGAGAGGATTATACAGGAGAACTTTCGCTTGAAAGAACGAAATGTGGCTGAACGACTGTTCTTCGTGGCCAAGTCGGTTAAGGCGTGCCGGCCTAAACGGTCGTAAATTTTTATTTAATAATATTTCTCAAACATTCAGAGCTGTAGATGAAAATAAATAAATATACTGTTTAATAAATAAAACGGAGCGTCTACTGAAATACAAGTATCCACTAAAAATCACGTTTAAAGTGATAAAAATCTGTCGGCTTAATAAAAATCCATTCTAATTTATATCTAGCTATCTATTCCCATATATATATATATATATATATATATATATATATATATAGTATAAGCAATTTTAGGACTATATATATATATATATATATATATATATATATATATATATATATATATATATATTTATAGTGTAAACGATTTTAGGACCATATATATATATATATATATATATATATATAGTCCTAAAATCGCTTGAGATGTGATACTGCAAATTACGGTGTTGATTCCTATGCCCACACTGCTTAAATCGAAAAATGGCTCTATCGTCGGCATTGAAGACTTTTCCCGTGTAAATAGAGTAAATCCTAGATTTTTAAACGGTGAACAATGAAATGATCTATCTTAAAGTTTTTTTTAAAACAATAAAGAAAGAAATTAAAATATGCCTTTCAACAAGAATCGAACTTCTATTACCTTAACCTGGGAAGCCACCTTCAAGCCAGGCATGATTTACCACTTGACTACGAGACGCCATCATAGCAAAGCAAGGCTCAATTACGCTTGGAATAAATGTACATATCTTGTTCGAACATTTAGAGGTATATATTTGCCAACTTTTATTTTAATAACTGAAATCGTAAACGCGCGCAC